AATATCAAGTAGTCAATCGTAATCTTAACCATTAAATGACTGAATTTGACCATTGTACCTTCTTAGTCAATTGCAATTGGCTGTGTTATCTTTATTCACAAATCTTTGTATTCTTCTTCTTCTTCTTATTATTATTATTATTATTAATATAAAGTACATCTTTATCATTGATTGTAGTGATATAATAATAATGATTATGAATATGAGACAAGAACAAGAACCCCCCTTTTTTTTATAAAGGCATCAATTTTAATTAAGTTCCCTTCTTCATAAGAGGTAACAGGTGTAACTAAGTAACTAAGTAATTAATTTTAATTAAATTGAATAATTGTTTCCGGGGATGGTGTTGGTGATGGTGGTGCATGTGGTGGTGGTGGTGGCGATGGTATTTTCTTCTACAAGGTCATCTATTTTAATGTTCATTTATAATTTATCTTAATTGAAAATGAATAGAACCACATAATAGATGTGGTTCAGTATGAGAATGGATCTATTTGGTATAGAAATAGTAAGATGAATTGAATAAGGTAACTTGTCGATCAAGATAAACAAACAACACCATGAACTTTTTTTTTAGATTTATCAATGAATTGTAATCATAATTGATTGATCACTGGGTAGTGATCAATGTCATGTATGTCAAGTGCTAATCCGTCAGGGAGCATCAGTTCGTTTAAGATTATAGGTACACCTTGCTGACGAGTGCTAAGTAGTACAGCAACTCACGTGCAATTGAATTTGTTCTCATTCAATTCGGTTAATCCCTTTTGTGAACTTATTTAGCGGACAAAGTCATCCGTACTATATAACAACATATTGTACCTTGATTATTGTTGTGCTTGTATGAAATATGTATGCTTGAACACTGCTTACTGCCTACGCATATATTCATTCTGCTAGCTTTATTACTAGCTACTTAATTGATTCGATGATCCATTCATTTCCCTATATATATACATGTACATTTAACACTCTACACTCTCGGTTCGCTGACTCACTCATTCGCCTCACTGCTTTGTGGTCGGAGTTATCCGCTAATATAAACTGTAGTCGCTGCTTCTCTTTGCCTTCTGATTTCAAACACTGTTGAAGATTATATGATAACGTTTACGAGGGTGATTGGTCAACGAAGCACAGCCACTACAGTAGCACAAAATCTCGGTCCAGGGTATCTTGTCGACTACCTCCAACCACCATCTAATCTCATAAATGAATTGTAGCTAAGCAACTATTGAAATTAGAAAAATATTAGAAACGTGATTTGTTCTTGAATCATACAACAATCTAATATTCATGATGAAATGTATATATTGAACTATGAATATTGAAGATTCAATTTGATAGAATTATTATCTAATAGTTCAGTATTCTAATAACAATTTTATAGAACGAAGAGGAATATTCACTTGGTATTGTTTTGCTTGAATCTTCCCATTGATGTTTAGGACCGAAATTGATCATTCCATCTCTACTTATAATGCTTGTAATTTAAGACAGTACGCACAGTATGCACGTATGCCAATAAGAGACTGATCAATTTCAGTCCAAAAACATCAATGGGAAGATTCAAGTAAAACAATATCAAGTGAAGTAAACTTCACCCCGTTGCACAAGCAAGTGACGATCAGGACTCAGTAGCTGAGTGGATAATGCGATGGCGTTTAAAGTGAATAGTACTAGGTTCGAGTCCCAGAGTGAACATCAACTGTGAGATACAGGTACATCCAGCTGACGATTCCCAAATAGGACGAAGTGGCGCACATCCTGGATTGCACTGCTAGCCACTATCCGTCTGCTTATAAGAGGAATATGCTATAATTCTATGAACTATAGAATATATATATATATATATATATATATATGTATATATCGAACAGTGTCACGAGGCAAGCCCTTACATGGAATCCTCAAAGCCAGAACAGAAGAGGAAGACCAAAGAACACATTACACTGAGAAATGGATACAGACAGACAGACATAAGAAGAATGAACAACAATTGAATAGAACAAGTAAGGAAGGTCCAGGATAGAGTAGGTTGGAGAATGCTGGTCGACGGCCCATTCTCTATGGTGACTAACAAGCATAAGTAAAGTAATAATGTTATTCATCTAATTTGAAATCCTGAAGGAGAACAGAAAAGAGGAATAACAAAGAATACATTAAGTTGTGAGTTAGAAGCAGACTTGAAAAGGATGAATAAGAACTGGAAAGAATTGCTCAGGACAGGATCGGATAGAGAATACAGTCCTTAATATTAATGAGAAAATTCAAGTAAATAATACCAAGTGAATTAAAAACCCAAAGCAACTGTCAACCAACACCAAGGTCAGGATTTTCAAAACAAATGTCAAGACAGTTCTACTGTATGGAGCGGAAACCTGGAGAACTACGAAAGCCATCATCCAGAAGATACAGATGTTTATTAACAGTTGTCTACGCAAAATACTTCGGATCCGTTGGCCAGACACTATTAGCAACAACGTACTGTGGGAGAGAACAAACCAGATCCCAGTGGAGGAAGAAATGAGCAAGAAGCGCTGGAGATGGATAGGACACACATTGAGGAAAGTACCCAACTGCGTCACAAGACAAGCCCTCACATGGAATCCTGAAGGCCAAAGGAGAAGGGGAAGACCCAAGAACACATTAAGCTGAGAAATGGAGATAGACATGAGAGAAATGAACAAGAACTGGATGGAACTAGAAAAGAAGGTCCAGGACAGGGTGTGTTGGAGAATGCTGGTCGGCGGCCTATGCTCCATTGTGAGTAACATTCGAAAGTAAGTAAGTAAGTAAGAATTTAAAACTTCACCTCACTGCATAAGCTAGTGGCTATCAGGACTCAATAGCTAAGTGAATAAAATGACGTCGTTTGCAGCAAACGGTGCTGGATTTGAATCCTGAAGCTAACATCAATTCTGAATTAATGTTATATTCATCTGATGAGTACAAAATGGAATGAAACGAACGTTTTTAATTCCACTACTAGTCACTATCCATCTTTGTTTACTGTAATACTGTTAAGTTGTGCTAGAACCTCTTTACTACAATTGAATAAGTTGGACAGTATTGTTTTTATTATCATAAACAGTTTCTAACCTGATAAAGGTTAATGAACAAAGAATATATGATTAATTGTTTCATTTCAATTCCTGTCATGATGTTCAGTTCATTCTTGTATACGAAGTGAATACAGGATTGTAATTGATAACAAGTACACCTAAACGACTTACGATTAGACTTTTAGATCAACGACTCAGCATGAAATTCCTCTAAGAAAATCACCTAGTCCGGTTTGTTCACTTGACCAGTATCTTAACTCCTACATAAACAGAATAATTTATGTGGTGTATATCTAGATTAGTGCCTCCTTATACCAATTTTTATGTATTTAAATAAACAAATTAAAGTTAGACAATAAAACCGTTGGAAGCCGGCTCAGTGATCTAATGCTTAGGCTCCTGGCACGTGACTGGTAGGTCCTGGGTTTGAATCCCACGAGGCGAGGTCGTGGATGCGCACTACTGAGGAGTCGCACGATAGAACGAAACTTGAATCTTCTCATTGATGTTTAAGTCTATAATTGATCAGTCTTTTATTAATATATATGTATATATATCTTTGTGCAGATTATCTCGATATTACTTTAAAATCAAGTTCCAAATTGAACCATGAAATGTAGGTTTATCTAGTTGATGAGTGCTAAATTGAATGATCTATTCATCATGGAATCATCTTTTAGGATCACCAGGTAAGTTATAATGAGGTTAGATTCAATCTACTAAAGAATGATGACAAATTAGTTAATGAGATTGGAAATCTTCATCGATTAAGATAGTTGTGTCACGTATAGCTGAACATCAATTATCACGACGCACAAAGCTGATTAATGTTTAAGATTGTGAGAACAAAGTTAGAGGTTAGCCAAACCAAAACATGATATCAATCCGTAAAGTCATGTTGGTAGATACACATTAATTGATTAGGGCCGGCAAAACTATCGTAACCAATCGTTAGAGACTTTGGGTAATATAGATCTTGTCTTCTTTTAAACCATGAGATTAAACTCACTTTACACCTTTCTTTCTATAAACTAATTCTTTCTCCCTTCAATCCTTTTCTTTTTCTTATATATTACTATTGTAGTGAACAGAACACTAGTGGGAACAATCGAATGCATTTAACACACGCTTACAGGACTTGTTAATAAAATCTAACAATCAATCATAAAGTAAATGCTTAATTTGCAAAATGTTCATCAGGACTAGACAAGCATGACATTGATCACCACTCAGTGATCAATCAATTGTGATTACATCTCAGTCCTACAGGAGGTTAGTTACGGCTCGGATAGCTCAGTGGTAACGTCTCTGACTGTGAAGCTGGGTGACACGAGATCGAATCCGCCAGGGAGCATCAGTTCCCTCAAGATTATAGGTACACCTTGCTGACGAGTGCCAAGTAGCACGAAACCCGGGTCCAGGGTTTCCTGTTGACTACCTCCAACCACCATCTAGAATCTCAATACATAGCGCCCGCAGTGTCGAGTCACCTAGACTGGTGGCCACATTGCAACATGATCGATAGCATTCGATCTGCACTGAATAAGGACTAGACAAACATGACATTGATCATCACCCAGTGATCAATCAATTGTAATGTTCACCAGTTGTCTTAAAACGACTCAGACTTCATTGTTCTTGGATTTTCATACAAACTACATTCTGTTTCGATTCTCTTGTCACTCTGCTGTTAGACTTACTGTTCACAACTAACATCATATACTACTTATGTCAATATAAGTAGCACACACATCACACTATCACTAAATTAACTATTTCTATGAATTCAATGTTCATCTTGTTGTGTTAATAAGTAAATTATAGTCACGTAGACTAATGTCTATCTATGTCTCATCCTCTATTATAACTGATTCACTACTATTCATCTTTATTAATATGATATTATCATACATCATCAATAAAGAATAGATCACTTACTTAGATTCGATGTAAGAATTAATTGAATTTCTGATATGATAACATATTGATTATTCATTGGACGATGTAATTTACACCAATAATTAGTAGTATAATCATTATAATCATGATGATCAATATTCAATATATAATGAACTTTTAAATTGGTCTCATTTAATATCACTTGATGAATAGGTAAATTTGATTGAAAAATCATTAATAAATCACCATGTTGGGCATGAATTAATGGACAATTTAATTGAATTTGATTAGGATGATGATGATGATGATGATTCTTATTTACTACTAATTCATGACTATTGAATACTACTGATGGGATATAAGTAGTATATGTATAGGAATAAATAGATGAATTAGATAATGTCCATATTAATTTTGATTGATAAATTAAATAGACTAATATAAATAAACTTGTATATAACATGGACCAACGTGTTAAATAAATCATCATGAAAATGTTTTTTTCTTTTTTTTTTTAGTTTTTCTCTTTTTTTCTTGTTTTTCTTTTTAATCAATCAAAAGTTTCATTATTTTTTTTTAGTTACTAAGGACTTTCAATGATGATGAAAAATGTTGGAAATGAATTTCGCCTGAATTCAATCACTATGGTGTTTAAGATTAATATGGAAAATGAAATCATCAACTATATAGAGAATCAACAACAACAACAACAATAAAAAAAAAAATACACAAACAAATTTGATTGGTTAATGAATTGTGCTTTATTCCAATGATACAATGAACTATTTTATCCAATAGATATTGGTAAGTGTAGGCGATAAAGACAATAATATTGTATTTATCAATAAACAATTACAATGACAATTATGTTCCTCTTGTATGGTGTGTGTGTGTGTGTGTGCTACTTATATTAGCATAAGTAGTATATCATGTTAAACAAGAATTCATTGTCTCTCAGTAGAAAGTTAAGAAGATCAAGGAGAATAGAATGGGAACAGAAAGTTATTGGAATTCACTTGATATTGTTTGGCTTGTATCTTCTTATTGAGGTTTAAGACTAGAATTAATCAGTCTGTTATTGGCATATGTGCATACTGTGCGTATGCCTCGATATTACCTAAATCCACAAGGTTTTTGTAAGCAATGATTGATAGTGGCTAGCAGTGCAATCCAGGATGTGCGCCACTTCGTCCTATTTGGGAATCGTCAGCTGGATGTACCTGCATCTCAGAGTTGATGTTCACTCTGAGAATCCAACTAAATACCGTTCACTTCAAATGCCATCACGTTATCCACTTAGCTATTGAGTCCTGATAAACACCTACTAATGTAATGGAGCAGCATCGTGGATGAGCACTGCTGAGAAGTCCTACAGTAGGACGAAGTGACCATCCAATGTTTCAGGTTTTCCAGTTTTCTAGCTTCAATTAACTCATGATCTCAACCATTAAAATTACTATAATATCCACAAAAAACCTTTCTGATAAAAATGAATGTGTTTATGTTAAACTAAAATGACAAATATTTCAATGTTTAAGTTAATTGAAACAGGTATAACCATTTTATAATAAGTAAGTTGAAGAAGTAGTCTATATACTATCAGCTTACTAATGATTGTAGTGATGATTTATCAACTAGAGAACTATTTTGATTAAGTAAAGCTATTAACATAGCAACTAGACGATTTGGACTTCACAGATGACATGGCTCTTCTATCTCATACACACTAACAAATGCAGATGAAGAGAAGTAGTGTAGTAGCAGTCTATGCATCAGTAGGCTTCAATATATACAAAGGGAAAAGCAACATCAACAAATACAACACAAACAACACTAATCAAACCTGTCACACTTGATGGTGAAACCCTGGAATAGGTTGAAAGTTTCACGTGTCTGGGTAGCATCATCGATGAACAAGGAGAAACCAATGCAGACGTAAAGGTTAGGATTGTCAAAGTAAGGATAGCGTTCATACAGTTGAACAACATATGGAACTCAAACCCACTGTCCTTCAACCAATAGCAGAGTCACAATCAACAATACGAACATCAAGACAGTTGGTTCTATTAATATAGAGCTAAAACTTCCAGACCTACTATAACAATCATCAAAACAATAAAAGTATTTATAAACAATTGCCTATACAAGATACTTAATGTCCGTTGACAAGATACCATCAGTAACAACCTAATGTGAGAGAGAACGAACCAACTTCCATCTGAAGAAGTAATTAGGAAAAGACATTTGAAGTAGATAGCTGTTATGTCCCGACAAAAATAATGAATGGTAACTTTTGGGATCTATTGATGAACCAATAGTAAACGTGTATTCCTATTGTATAGTTATTAAATAACTAAACTATGCATATTCATATTCCTCTTATTATAAGCTTTATTTTGACCCATTAACTATTATTATACGTTTTACCATTCTTGAGTTATACCCAGTATATTAATTACTACCTCCCACATTCACAGCCACATCTGGCTAATTCTTGTACAAATGTTATTTCATATTTTATTGGTACGTTGTGGTCTGTTTGATTGGTATATAAACTCAGTATGTTTGAAATATAATGATTCATATCGCAGAGGCTCGGATTGATGTTCTGAACTGAACTGACTGGGCTAGGCGGTATGCAGGGCTAATCAGAACTCTAGGCTGCTCGCATGTATTTACCCGTCATTGATCCGATTGATAAGTCACTGCTCTCTAATCGACGGTCACATGTTATAACAATAGGATACACATTGAGTAAGTCATCAAACTGCATCATGAGGCAAATCCTGACTTCAACTTGTGAAGAGAAACAGAAAGGTAGAGGACTGAACAACACATTGGAAAGGATTGTCCAGGACAGAGATGGATGGATAATGCTGGTGTCTAGCCTATGCTCAACCATGATTGCGTAACAGGCGTAATTAAGTAAGTAAGTAATTAAGTTCATTTATTATGCTTCTTAGTGTTATACTGAATAGAAGAACAGTCTTAATGAATAGGACTAAATATCTAAAACTAGCCTACATAAATCATACCAATTAAACATAGTCACAACCGGTCATCACTATGGCCTATATTATTTGTATATGTATATATGAATGTATTAAAAACAATATTTAATGTCAATTTCAGTAATCATTAATCCTTATTAGTAAAATCACATAGTTTCAAGTTATGACATCTCAATGGTGTGTTGTTTATTTATTCTAAACTTCATTTCATTAATAATAAACACTTGGTTCAACGTTTTTTTCTCTTTCTGTTTTTCTAAATAGACACCCATTCAATTCGGTATACACCTACCTATCTATCCACACATCTATCTATCTACCTATCTAACCATCTATCTATCCACACACATATATATATATATCTCTATTTGTCTATCTATCTAGTAGTGGAAGCCAGAACGTGTGCTTCGCCCTATTTGGGATTCGTCAGATGGATATACCTGTATAATACTGAGTTACTTACCTACGTCTATTAGCCCTAAACTCCACCTTGGAAAGCAATATTCTCCGATAAAACACAACATACACCAATCAAATCACACTTGACGGAGAAGCTTTGGAGGATGTAAAAATCTTTACACATCTGGGTGGCATAATTGGTGAACACGGTGGATCTGATGCAAATGTGAATGGGTGGATCGGTAAAGTGCAACATATCTAAGATTGAAAAACTTCTGGAACTCAAAACAACTGTCAGCCAACACTAAAGTCATAATTTAGAGTATTAATGTCAAGACAGTTCTGCTGTTTGTGGAGGAAACCTTGAGAACTACGAAACCCATCATCCAGAAGATACAAGTGTTTATTAACAGTTGTCTACGCAAAATACTTCGGATGCTCTAGTCAGACACTATCAGCAACAACCTACTGTGAGAAAAAACAAACTAGATCCCAGTGGAGCAAGAAATCAGGAAGAAGCGTTGGAAGTGGATAGGACACACATTGAGGAATACACCCAAATGTGTCATAAAGCAAGCCCTCACATGGAATCCTCAAAGTGAAAGGAAGAAAAGAAGACCAAACAACACATTATGTCGAGAAATGGAGACTGACACGAGAAAAATGAGCAACAACAGGATGGAACTAAAAAGCAAGGGCCAGGACAGAGTGGGATGCAGAATGCTGGTCGGTGGCCTATGTTCCATTGGGTGTAACAGACGCAAGTAAGTAAGCAAGTTACCCGTCATTGAGGAGCATAGGCCACCCACCATTACTCTCCATCCAACCCTGTCCTGGGCAATCCTTTCCAATTATTTCCAACAGCTATTCATACACACGATATGTAAATATACTAATAACAGACTGATCATTTGAAGTCCTAAATATCAATGGAAAGATTCAAGTAAACAACAACATCAAGTAAGTATAATCATTGAAGTGTTGTAACTCATGGCTGAAATCGTAAATTATAAGTTAGTTGACCAATTAGAAAAAAAATGATTAAGAGTGTAGTGAACAGAACACGAATGGCGACAATCGAATGTATTTGACACAAAATCTAACAATCATAAAGTGAATGCTTCATTTGCAAAATGTCCATCAGTTGTCTCAAAATGACTCAGACTTCATTGTTCTAACATTTTCATACAAATTGCATCCTGTTTCCATTCTTTACTGTTCGATCCTCTTGTCGCTTTGGTGCCAGACATTCTGTTTACGACTAATATCATCTACTACTTCTGTCAATATAAGTAGCACACACCACAATAGTTCTTAATTTCAATCATCACAATCCTAAACTGAGAAAAAAACTTGGATCTTCATATATATATTCAAATAGAAATAGTTGTACAGCTTTCTTTATTCTAATCAATGAAATCATCTTTACTAGTATAGGGGTTGTGGAGATTATTAAGTTTTTGATTGAGATCATGGACCGATTGATGTTAGACCACCACCTTTGGAAACTTGGAAGCACTGGACGGCCGTTTCGTCCCATTGTGGGACTCCTCAGCAATGCGCATCGTGACCACGCTCGTGTGATTCGAACCCAGGGCCTTCGGTCTCGCGCGCGAACGCTTAACCTCAAACTCAATCAAAACTTAATAATCTTCACAACCCCTATACTAGTAATCAACATGTGCTCACTAGTGAATAGCTTCGTGAGGGAGTTCTCGGAGTTCTCGTGAGAAGCCGTGACCAGTGGAGATAATCCATATCGGGGATAGATAGATATCTACTTCATTACTATGGAAGTTGTTCGCGCGATTTTGTGGACTGGTTGATGTTAGACACTATCACCATTGGATGCCGGCTCAGTGGTCCAGTAGGTTAAGCGTTCGCGCGCGAGACTGAAGGCCCTGAGTTCTAATCCCGCGAGCGCGATCGTGGATGCGCACTACTGAGGAGTCCCACAATAGGACGAAACGGTCGTCCAGTGCTTCCAGGTTTTCAATGGTGGTCTAACATCAATCGGTTCATGATCTCAATCAGAAACCATCTTTAGTTGTCTAATGTTATTACCAATTCATAAACAATTGAGTTTAATTAATCTTCATTCTCAATAATTATCAACTTCCATTCTAATCTGTTTATTATTATGTAATTACGCAATATCTATCACTTTTGTTTATCCAGTTATAAAATTGGTACCCTTTTTTTGTTGTTGTTCAGGAATGATTTTAGATTATGCTTTTGACGAAATGAACAAAAAAAGCAACAACATCAAA